GTAAAGAAATATGACCGGAGAAAGACTCCAAATGAACCTGAATGGCTATATTAATAAGGCAAGTTAAGTAGACTTTTCTACGCGTTAATAGTAAATAATAAAATAATATCATATTTATGGAGTAATTAAACACTTACAGGCTTAGGACTGCCTGCATAGAAATGTAAAGTGCAGGCACGCTGAATGTTTCGAAGAAAACTTCAGCCATCTTTTCTCTGTTTCTTTTTGGATTATGCGGAGCTTCTGTCAGCAAAACTGGATGCTCCTCACTACTAACCATGAGCTGGTCTTTGCTATAAATGTAAGCCCATATTCTTTCCATATCATTCCAGTCACGGATAATGCCATGTTCGATGGGATAACGGATACTCAGGAGTCCTCTATGTTCTTCAGCCTTAGGACCAATAAAAGCGTCCCCCTCCAAAGCACCAGCCATCACTCGAACATGTTTTGGTCGGCCAATACTGGGAACAAGCATAAAATATCATAAAACTTACTAATTAGGGAATCTGTATTTAGGGACCTGATCTCCAGCAAAGCCTGCTTTTAATATACCTGTTCCCTTGAAAAATAATTCGTAAAGTAGGATTTAAGTTCATACTGTGTCAATCACGACAGGTTGGTTAACGATAACATCATAAGTGTCCATCGACGAGGCAGGGCGAACTACCTATTTTGAAGAGATCTGGGTCCCACTAGTTCATTAAAATAGCATTAATATTTATTGCTAATTATTTTATAAAACATATGTATATTTAGTATTTATCTATTTTGCGTTTCTAAATTCATTTTTGAATTTTGTTGTTTAGTGTTTTGCTAATTAATTTTCTCATTGGCCTTGATTCGAGTCAATCAGCAAATATGTGGCTAATCCATTTATGAACTCGTTAACTTTTCCAGATGCTTAATAAACGGCAACTTATACTGGCCATAGTAAACAATATTTTGAGTACGCTATATCGATTCATATCTCAAGTGACTCAGTTGATCTTATATAATGCGAAGTCTCATATTGCCAATTTTATTTAAACTTTAAGTCATGGATTTCTTATAATGAATATA